GAAGACCTTACGTAGGGCTGATGCCTTTCTTTGTTGAAGTGCAGGAGTTGTTCCCGTCGCCCGTCGTTACGTCGATCCCTGCTTGTTTCCGATTGTATCGCCGTTAGCCATTGGGTCGGTCCGTTGAGGTCGTCCTCATCCGCTCGTACCTCGGCACAGTAGGCGTTGTGGATCTCTTCCCATGTGGTGGGGGGATATTTCATGAGTCGGCTTAGTAGCTTTTTGGTCGCCTTCGAGCCATCTCTGTTCATCCCTTTTTGGAAAGCTGCGACTGCCATGCCTTCCGATACATTTGGTAGGCTCATCCTTACTCTGTTGAATCTGGCCAGGAAGTCCCTGAGTCCTTCTCCTACGGTTTGTCTGACAGCGAAGATATCGTTGACCCTGGCCTCTGCTTTCTTCGCTCCTGCATGGGCGGTGGTGAACTTATCTGCCATTTCTTCGAATGTTGATATTGTCTTAGCTGGTAGCTGAGAGTACCATGTTAGGGCCCCCCTGTCAACGTTTTCCGAACTTTTTCAGCAAACGGATGGTACTTGTTCTTTTGACGGATCGTTACCCTTCATAGCGGTTACATAATGGATCAGGTGGTCTTCGGGATCCGTGGTCCCGTCATATATCCTCAAGTAAGGTGGCATCTTGAAGGTCTTCGGGATCGGGTGAGGGGCGGCTTCCTCGTTGTACGGCTGCTCGACGAATCTTCCTACGTCGCGTTTTGGCAATAATTTCGGAGCACCGGAAATTTTGTCCACTCTTTCCTGGTGCTCTTTAATTTGATCTCGAAGTGCCTTGTTCTCATTTTCCATTTCTTCCATCTTCTTAAGGATGGCTGCGAGTGCACCATCGTTGGCTTGGACATCGATGTGGGTGTTATTTGCTGGTACAATATCGGGTTCACTGGTGGTAGCAGCGATATCTGCCACCGACGGATTTCTAATGTTGCTTTGGGGTGAGTTTTCAAGCATGCTACCCAGAGTGTTCATCAACTACTCTTCCAGCAGTTTCTTGACCCTCGGAGGTGGTGTTTCTTTGACTGCGGATGTAGAGGCTCCTTTTTCGTGCAAGATTGTCAGGTCTTCAGATGAAGAGGGTGAGATCTCTCCATCCGGCGCACTACCAGGTGTTGTACTCAGGATGTTTTCTCTACCGGCCTCGTTAAGAGGGCCTATGAGATTGGCTGTGACGCCTGCTATTGCTTTCATTCTTGCGTCATTTTCCGCCATTTTTTGGCTTCTTTATAGTGTGAAGAACGGTGGTTCGCTGTTTTTTTTCTAGGTGCAAACTATGATTTCGATTGCCGAAATCCCCACAGACGGCGCCAAATTGTCTGACTCAAAAGATACTGGATACCTTATAAGTAAGAACAATCGAAATGAATCAAGGATCAATCGTAATCGAAGATAATAAGACCTAGATATGTGTGTTATGTTTGTTATAGCTTCCAACAAGTTGGATATTCAAGAGAGAGAGAGAGAGAGAGAGAGAGAGAGAGAGAGAGAGAGAGCTTGTTCAAATAAAAATCCGTCCCCCCTTTACAATATTGGGATTCCCCTTTATATAATAGGAGACCATCCTTAAAATAATAAAATTCTACAGAGGTTGGTCGCGTTCCTTAGAGAGACGACGGAACCGACGACACACTTCACGCCGACATTCTTTAGGTCGTGCCCTCACTTCGGTTAGCGTATATTCGTTGGTCGTTCCTATCAACGTGGAGACGTAATAGGCAGAATTTGACCCTATACATTATTACTTATGCCAATGCTTTGAATCAATAGATAGTGGTCCTCGAAGATGTAAATTTAATCGTTTAATTTCAAAATCGACTTTTGGGTCAAACAATTACTCCCTCCGGTTCATAATAAGTGTCGAATTTGCTTTTTTATTTTGGTTTAAAATAAGTGTCCAGTTATGTAATCAAGAAAGAATTCAATTTGTTTTTACAAAATAACCCCTATGTACATATCCCTAAAAAGTTTTCTTATTCCTCACATTAAATGTTTAAGTAGGGGTAGTTTAGTTATAGTAGGTATTTTTGTATAGAATTTAGTATTTTCTTAATGGGCGTGCTAAAAGCAAATTGGACACTAATTGTGAACCGGAGTGAGTAGTAATTATTTTTTATCAGGACGCTTAATTTTACTAATTTTACTATATATATATATATATATATATTTTAAAAAAATATTTTATCTCAAGAACTAAACATCAAAAATATTTTATAGGGGAAAAAGTTAAAACCCACCCGGGACGACCGAAACGTCAACGTCGAAGAAAAGAGACTCCTTTTTGTCCAAGATCGGAGGAGTGTTCAGAAGGTGCCAGCGCTGCTACGAGAAACCTATATATAAACAGTTTCTTGATCTCCCTCAAAATTTCATTTCAATGGAAGCCGAAGGTAAACCCTCGGCTCTACCCTTTTATCTTCTTTCTCTTAATTTTGTTCTTACAGTATCTTCAAAAGATATGTTTGTCCCATAATCCATTTTAGGGCAACGAACATCCTCCAATCCATCGGCAGTGCTCGCTGCTCTTTTGTCCAAAAGAGCCAAACTTCATGAAGATCTCCGAAACCTCGAAAAACAGGTCAAAGAAATTTCTGGGGTGTTATTGTTTTATGTATAGATTCAATAATAATTCCTTGAATGACTTTGCAGGTTTACGACATGGAGACTATTTACCTACAGGATCCTAGCCAATGTGGAAATGTACTCAAAGGTTTTGAAGGGTTTTTATCTTCGTCCAAAAGCACTAGCTTGTAAGTTTTTGTTTATTTAATTCTTTCAGGTATAAATTGTCCTGAAATGGAGGTATTAGGAGGGTTTCACCTAAGGACAGGTGTGACTAAAGAATTTATTCTAATATTACGAATTGGTATGAATAGAGAGAATCGATATAGTATATAATTAGAGGAATGTATACAGATAATTTATATAGCCTGCCCAACTAGTTTGGATTTAAAACCTAGTCGATTCATATAGTGTTTTTTTAGATATATCATCGATGACTTAGTTTATGGCATTTGGATATAGGTGTTGCAGTACTCTAGCACTTCTTGTGTGAATTGTTTTACTTGAGCGTGGTATGCTTGCCTGCTTGGAAGGAAGGATTTGGAAGAGTAAGGGAACGAATGGAGACTAAGAATTAGCATTTACGATACAATCCTGTTTCCTCTCGCCTTTCCTTTCCTTTCCTTTCCTTTCCATCCTAAGAAAAGTTTTATTGTCAAGAGAATAGTGTGTTTCCATAAAGCTGTTTTATATAAAACAAGTTATAGTGCCCTTTATACTAATGATACTATGAACAAAAAATTTCGCGTTTACAAATGGTTAGTTTACTTACACAACTGATTGATGATGGAGTAGAAGAAGAAACAAAGTCAGAGTAATGGGATAAAGTTTTGATAGCCGGTGGTCTGTGATGGATACGAACAAAGAAGGCTGGTGCCATCCAATTTACTTTTGGCATTTTGAATTGTCTTAGTAAATTGTGATTGTATATATTCATGCAAAGGCAGAAAAACTCATCAATGATGTAAATAAGCTAGTTACATTTTGTTCTGTCACACTGCGAAACTTGTTGTCGAAAGGCTTAGTTCTGCTGTCCCCCCTCTATCTTTTCTCTTTTCTTCCCCAGGGAAGACGTAATGGAGAATGTTGATCTTGTATTCAGTGTGTTAAAAGGTTTAGAAGAAAAGAATAGTATTAGTTGTAATCCGTTGTCAGTAGTGAGATAAATTATAGAAGATGATAGTAACGAAAGAACTTCTTAGACACTTATAAATCCAATGTCATCGACATTTTAATTCGGCTAATTGTGCTGAAAAGATCCTTCTGACGATGGCCTAATGGTTGAAACACAAGAATAAAAACCTGGAGGTCCAGGTTTGAATTCCAGCTACAGCACTTCGTGTGAGCCTATATGCACCTTTTAATTGGCAGTAGTACCTTGGTAAACTGTGCTTGTGGATTGGATAGTCTGTCCGGTGGATTAGTGGAAATGTATGCAAGCTAGCCCAGACACCACCGATAACGTCAATCAAATAAGTATGTTTATTTCAGAGGAAGCTATGTTTTATTGAATCTATCCTTGAATCCATCTGAAGCCTGAACTACCAACCTTTCCTCTTTCTTTGAGAGAAGTGTAAAATCTATCTAATTCATCTTAGGTCCTTAGATTATGAGTTCATAACCCTAGCCCGTTCCCATTTTGGGCTAAGCAGATCTACTAATTCCTTGACTCTAGTTAGTAAATAGGCCCTAGAAGGTAAAAAGGCGATCTCAAGGTACTTCCCGTATAATCGTACAGAGGATTTCTACCATACTAAGATATTTTTTTCCATCCTAGTTTCGTTCTTTTACTTTGATTCGTACAACTATTATGAAAAGAGTTGAAAACGTGAGCTGTTTAGTGGTTGTTGGAGGAACATGTAGGATATACTTGCACTGTAATCATATGGTAATATGATGATGATGTTACAAATAGACTAAATCACAGGGATTTCTTGGTTATAAAAACAAGTCGACTGTATCTCCCTTTGTGTCTTTAGATTTCCAATTTTCTGGATATAGTTTAAGGTTCACCTAATACCGATATGCTTTTTTTATTGAAATTACCCTTTTTCTGTTTAATTGTTTTGCAGCTTGAAACGATCCAGGAAGTTTCAACCTGAAGATCGACTCTTTTCTTTATCGTCTGTCACTTCACCCGCAGTATGTATTTTTCTGTATTTCTCAGCGACGGGAACACATGAATGCTGTTGATGGATTTATATCTTTTCATTAGGATCTTATACATTATGAATCATATCAGAGATTCTATGCATGATATCCAAATTTAGTTTGTCTCTAAGTTTATGTCTGTATTGTTGCAAGAACATATTCTCTTTCCCCTGTTTTACAAAATAATTGTTGCTCTTTGTTTCTTGTAAAGATTTAAACTTGATATAGTACGTTAGCTATTGACCGTAACCCCTTGACTGTCCTGTCTCTATCTTTTAAAAGTCTAGAGATTGTGAGGCTAATTAGGGCTCCCCATATGAATGTCGAGAAGATTTATTGAACCTGAGTAAAGCTAGGAATTCTTGATAAACTTTCTACATTAGTTTGTAATAATATCAAGGTGTTTTTTTTATCAGCACTTCGTCTTTGACCACCTTGGTTTATAGTCCTTTTGTTAAGTTAGAGATCTTAGTGCATCTGTTGAACTTCGATGTGACATTCACCTTTTAGAACCCTGAAAAAGGATAGGGATAAAAAGAGAGCATAACATGAATAATAAAAAGGAAGGATTGAAACAGAGAGGTATCAATTTTCAAATGAACCACCAGTAAAGTAGATTAAGGGGAACAAGTCCTCTATCACCCATTTGAGTGGGTAGCGACAGTTAAAGGGAAAAAGGCAGTTTGAACTTGTCTTCGGTTGAAAAGGAACGGGTTAAATATAAGGAGAGCGGAAAAGAAAGAGATAGGACTTCGGAGTATACCAAGTAACAAACTACACACTCCCATCCATGTAGGAACCCCTACCTTTTTGAGTGTTCTCAGAGCTTTGCCATTAACTTTGGAGGACTAAGAAATAGGTTAATTTTGCTTGGTCACAGCTCAGATAGCATTCTGAAGACGTTTTGATACTAGTGGTTGGTTTTTCATTTATACTGTTTCCTGTCTTCTATCCTTTAATTACAATTGCTGGAACGTCTCTTTGTAACTTAAATTGCAATTGCTGGAACCTCTCCTTGTAACCTCCTGTTTGTCCCTGTCCGAAAGAAACCAAAAAGTAGACAAGATAAATGAAAAACTACTGTCCATGAACTATCATGTCCCCGTCTACTTCAAAGTGGGGGACAATGGTCGTGGAATGACACCGAAATGCGTATTTCATCCAACATGAAGCTGTAATGCTGATTCCATATTTCAAAGAACATGAAAGTTGCATTTTTTACACATTTTCAGGCTGAGGAACAAGCTCTTGGTCGGGATGTTGGAGGGATATCTGCCAATGGACTGTAAGTAGTGAATTTTATCCTATAACTACTGTCGTTGGATGAGTGAAATAGATAGTTTTCACTACTTGTTCTCTTATACTCAGAAATATATTTTTCAAGTTCTGGATACGACAGAGTCTTGTTTTTGGCTATTTCTGCAGAGGTAGACCAAGGAAGGGAAGGGGAGGTCCAAGAGATGCAAAGAGAATGAGACATTCAAGTGAACCAGACTACGATTATGAAGATGATCCGGATCTGATGTAAGTTGGACTCTGGTTAAGAAAGAAGTAGGTTGATCAATTTGGAACAATGACATTGGTCAATTTGACATGTACAAATATATTTGGCTGACTTCAATTGTAGTTCTTTTGTATTGATGAGTCCCTTTGGGACATCTGATAAAAAAAGATTGTATCCTAGTGAATATTTTGCTCGTTCTTTTCTTTGTTGCTGAAAAATGAGCCAACTTTCTAATTCTTTTATTATTAGCCTGCCAAACTTGAAATTTTCAGTGAACTTGTCAATGAAATGGTAGTTACTATTATGATCAAGTGTCAAAATCACAGCTTAAAATCGTACAAACGAGATCATTTAGGGCATTTTCAACCCTCCCCCATTTCTCCATACTGGGGGCATTTTTTGCCATAATGAAGCTCCAATGCTCCCCCATTTTTGCCCCCAAAATGGGGGGATGAATAGTGTTACTCCAAATATGGAGTGACACTATTCATCTCCTCCATTACTATTCATGCTTATTTTATTATTATTATTATTATTATTATTATTATTATTATTATTATTATTATTATTTATATTTAACTCTTTTAATTTATCTCTTTATATATATGATCACGCCCAACTATGCCTTATAAAAAGGACAATGCGGTCGTTGCAAATATAATCCGGTTTACAAGTCCGGAGTCGAATCCCACAGAGAACTAAGGTTTAGCTACAACTGTTCACTATCACTAAGAAGACAAGCTTGAACAATTCCTAACTTATAGATATTAAGATTCTTGTGTTTAACTACTTAACTAACAAATTAAAATAGTAAATTAACAACTAACGATATTGAGGGTTAGAGAAAAGATTAAGGAGGTCTAGAGTTATGATTTCCCCAATTGTCGGAATCCTTCCCGCTATGTCATCTATAATTTCGCCTAAGTATTCTCTACCAATCATGAGCACTCATATTACCGTAAATCTCTCCCGAGTAATTATGACAATTTACTAGACGCACTCTCCCGAGCTACGCTAGCTGGCTTTTAATACCGCTCACTTCATATCGCACCCAAGGCTTTGTTATCCCTAATCCTGCCTTTAAACCCTCGGTTATTGATCCCTCATATACTCTGGGAGTGGTGTTGTTCAACAATTACCTAAATATGCACTCTCTCCCGAGTTATGCATACTAAATAGGCACAGCTAATTGAGAGCTCTTCAATCAACCAGAATATAAACGTAGTTGAACAAATAGAGAAAAGCTATGGCTCAATTATATAAAAACATAACAAGAATTTATCCTACAAAAGGTTCTATCAAAACTCTAGATAACAAATTAGCTATTCATAATAGTATGTAAAACTACAATACTAAAAGTCATAACCAACAATGAAAAATAGGAAGAGGAAGGAAAAAACTCGTAGAAGAATTCTCCGCCTTGCTCCCAATGTGTTCTTGCCTCCAAGGGTGTTGTCTAACCCTAAAGTAGTGTCTCTCCGCCTCCTTAGGTCTAATTTGTGTCCAAAATATGTCCTCCTCTTGTTCTTGGCCGGCCTCCTTTGTTTAATATAGGGTTTAGGACTTAAAATCCCATGTTTTGCACTTTAGTCCCTGAAATTTTCGCTTCCTGCCGCGGTTTTGCCGCGGTCGCGGTGGAACCGCGGCCAAACATGCCCTCTGATTCTTCAGTTGTCCGCGACCATCTTCTACCGCGGTTCTGCCGCGGTCGCGGCAAAACCGCGGTTTTTCACCCTGTTCCGTTTGGAATTTGGAAAAACGTAAAACATGAAAGTTGTAGCCCTTTGAGTTAGCTTTCCAACCATATATTGTGGAGCCCAAATGGAGTTCTGAGCAAAAAGTTATGTCTATTTTACTAGACAGTGCGCAATATGCCTCCTCAAGTCTTCGTTCGTACTTAATTATCAAATTTGACCCCCGAACACGATCCCGGCTTAATTCCTTGAGCTTTTACTCAGACTTCAAAGCTTCAAATCACTTAAATTCATTCCATAACATCTATATAGCTCGGAATCACACCTACAAGGCATAAAACACACAATTAGTGCAAAACACTAGCGATTAAAGCGCAAACTCAATTAAAGTGCAGTAAATTCGAGTGTAATAAGCGACTAAAATATGCAATTATAGCCTATCATCAACACCCCACACTTAAACCATTGCTCGTCCTCGAGCAATCAAACTACACTTTTTTTATAGACACGACCTTTTTAAACAATTCTCCTAACTCATCACACCAAGAGTATTTAAAATAGACTAAGCACAAAAGCGTAACATCTTCACCTCAAGATTTGACTCACAAGTACCACACGTTATTCACAACTCACCCACTTACTCTAATATAGAGGTGACTGACATTACCTTTCCTTCATGAATCAAGTGCCCTCACACAACAAAAGAGAGTAGTTCCACACAATAAAATTTAAGAACACTTAGGAACTCAAGATAGAAAGAATTCACTCACTCTCAGAAATAACATTCATATGCCACAAAAGATGCACCATAAGCTTGCCCGTAGTGTACTACTCCACTAATCGAGCTCATTCAATCTTGGATCAATTAGGACTTTATTTGGTTGTAATGTAGGCTACGGGACGGGTAGGATACATTTAGATATAAGAGTGACTACACCTCCCTAAGCACTTTAATACATACATTTTAACATTTAAACCCCATACTTATGTCAAACCAAAACTCCACCTTCACATCAATGTATATTACCCCATTCTTCTTTAAGCACACTTACATCAAGAGCCACCACTTATCAAGGAATTTTTTTTTCACAAGAATCCAACTATTTTTTTTTCCAATTCAAGTAGCTCTTACTTTTTCAAAACAGTGCACCTTTCTCCTTATTTCATTAGTTCCACTCAAAAGCCAAACCAACCACCCCACACTTTAACTTTTATAAAGTTCATAAACAATTCAAGTGCTCATGAGAGGTTACAATGGTTCAAATAGATGGTTAATTCGAACAAATGGGTAAGGCTTGTAATGTGGTTGCCAAAGAAACAAGATTACAGGCTCAAAGGGGTTAACTACGATACATAACAATTAGGTGGGTAAATATACATATCCGGCTCAACAAAGAAATGCCTATATCACTTCCTAGACTGAATAAAACTACTATTTCGCTTTGCAAACACACGGGGCAAGTTCTAGGCATCAAATGCAATGCACAGAATATCACAAAACCTTACACACACATGGCACATAACTCACTCAGGATTGGATTCATCAAGACACCCTAGTTAGAGCAGTTAAGCAAATTTAAAATCATACAATTTAAGGTACTTATACAAGAGTCAAAAACTGAGCCTAAGCGTCACAGCCAAAGTACTCACTATCTCAAGACATAACAAAGTCAAGAGATATTGCTTCATTTCAAAACAAAACACAATGGCTCCATTCCAAAAAAAAAAACTACTACACCCGGTTCAAATAAAACCCTTGAAAAAGAACCGTGGTTTAAAGAAAAACCAAGGGGTAATTGCTACACTTCCTAACAAAACAAAAAATCTTTTTGGTATTTTCTTTAGACTTACTTCCCTCAAGAAAACGGTCTAGAAGATCCGTCATCAGGAAAAGTCCAATCTTTTAAAAAAAAATATTTAATTAAACGAACACAGCTAAAGTAGCATGAAAAACCACCCAGACAATCTCCTCACCCCACACTTAAAATTGTGCATTGTCCCCAATGCACATCCATACATACAAGAAGGTAAAAGAAACTCCCTGGTAGGCCAAAGGCCGAAGCACTACAGCTCATGGGGTACTCAGACTTCTCCCCAGCTTGGTCCTTCGCGCGGGTACCTCACACTTAGTTCCAACCATTTGGTTTGCTGTTGCATTCTTCCAATACCTTTGCTTTCCATGCTCCTAGAAAATAAAAAAATTGACACTACAAAAATAATACAATTAAAAAAATAAAAATAAAAAAATAAATAAAAGAAAGCAATAAAGCTGGGTTGCCTCCCAACAAGCGCTTGATTTAACGTCGCGGCACGACGTGAATCACTTTCTGCCTCCACTTTGAACTTATGAATCGGACCCCAAGTTTTGATTCTGCTCTATGATCATGCTCCTGGGGTGGTGGAACGAATCTGACTGGCCCAATAAAATAATGTAGTATTCTGCACTTCTTGGCCTTTATATGAGGTGTGTAATCCCGACTTTCTGGCAAAAAGAATTCCAGAATGTAAGCACTTTGTTCATCATTCCTTGACTCCTCAAATGGCTCGGACGACTCTATTTCCTTTTGATCTCCGATTGAGAAAGAGATTTTGGTGGCTGAGTTGTCGCCGTCGCCGCCGCCGTAGGTTCTCTCGCACGACGGGCACATGCTAAGGGTGGCAGCCGATAATTGAACACGAAAGGGTGCTGCCATTTTCAGAGATTTCAGTTCTTGCAGTTCTTTATTTAGCCTTCTGTTCTCGCCTTTTAAATCTTCAGTGACAAAATTAGATTTACTCCCAAAGATAAGGGATAATTTTTGCTAATAACTCACTATTTTCACTTTGATATTGATTTATTTATATAATCCTTATTACTTTTATTTCAGGATGGATTTCATAGAAGCTTGGATGAATGGTGTCAGATGCAGCCTGATTCTGATGATGGTACCCCAATCCAACCGTCACCCGATGTTATGACTTCAATATGAACGGATGTAGCAGGTGGTGTATCCAAAGGAAGAGTTTACGGGCTTGGAGTACAACGGCCTTCCTCTTTTCGTCCATCGCCATTAGTTTCGGATGCTCCTAATCAGGAAGAAATGGGAGCAATGCAAAAGAATATTGAGTTGTTGTCGAAACGATGTGAGACGGCCGAAGCTCACATTACCAGAATGGATAAATACATGAAAAAACACATGCCCCACTTTTATGATGATGAAGAGTCTGATTCTGATGTGTAGTAGTGATTTAAGGTTGATTACTGTTCTTGGATGTTTAAATTTTATATTTAGACTTTATGGTAGATTTGAATGATGTGGTATATATATGTTTAGACTTTATTATATTAGTGTCGATATGTATTAGCTACTCAGACTTTATATTAAATATTTCGACGTTAAGTAATGTTTTGGTTTGACATTATGGGATTTGAATGTTTGTTTGTTGATGTTGGAATTGGTTGGTTTGATTATTAGATTGTTTAGTTGGAATTGATTGTGTAGTTGGAATTGGCTTGTTGAATTGGTTGTTCATAATATTTTGCATTTGACAGGTGATGTGCTAATAAAATGGCAGCATGCTGTC